AAGTGAATCCTTGGGGGGAGATGATCACCATCTCCATCGACTATCTTGATTTGATAGTCCCGATAGCAGGGGAGGGCATGCAGTATATCAGAGGAAATTATGGGGTAAAACAGGACCCCCGTGGTTAAACAAAACGTCCTAACCCAACATCCAACCTAACCTAACACCTTGGTATATATTCCCTAGCCAGGGGGATTTGCCCCCTGGACCCCCAGGGTAATATATATACCTAGCACCCTTGAAGCATTTACACACATTGCTATAGAAGAACTGTCTTGGTTTGTATTCTATCATTTCATGTAGGTTTTCTTACCTAACTCTGCCACTACCTAATACTACATATTGTCCGAATTTTCCGATCTTTGGGCATACTTTTGACTAATCTGTGAGTGATTAATATTTAAAGTCAAGGGAAGTTCTTTCTCCTTTGGCCTACTCTCGGCAATGTGGGCAGCCACGTTTCTACCGTTTAGATACGGCTTATTGACGACACGTGTTTGCAAGTCCTGTTTTGAACACTGCTGCATATATATATATATTTTTTTTTTAGCTCGAATAGGAAGTTGACTGAATAAGCTTCCTGGAATGTTAGAAATAGATTTTCAAGTCGAGAAATGCAATTGCATTAACGCGATAAATTTATTCCCGAATACTTCAACAAATTTATTTAGTTGCTTCATAGGAACGTTTGTGTATCTGCAGTTAATGCTAGATTTTGAAGGTTCGAGTGATGCTAATTTATCTCGCTAATCTGGTCAACCTGCCAAATATAGCAAAAGTGCTTATTCGCGGGATATTCCATAACTAGTGCAAAATCGTGATCGAAAATAAATTTAGTGATACCTTTCAGCCGTATAATTTAACATTGAATGTGTCTTCAGATTCACGCAACAATGAAAATAATGTACTACCATTGAGCTATATCCATGGGAGCACTAGCAGTGTCGTCCTTTAGCGTAGAAATTCTTCATACCGTATTCTACTTTAAAACCATTAAATAATTTATAATTTATTTTGTATTTAGAACATTAATGTGCTTGACATTTTTTTTTAAGAGCAGAAGTAAAGACACTGAAATCATGCTTTGCACATCTTAATCGTGTAGCATATTATTGCTGATCCTCGTCGTATGGCAAGGAAGGGGTCATGAGGAGCGAGGAGGCCATCCCGCGTGGATTTGAGATTGCCATACGGACATATGCAATATAATCTCCGGTTGTATCTTACTTTTAGCCTTAGTTTTCGTCTAGTATTTTTTCCGCATTGCAGACTGGCGTATAATGCAAATAAGGGAATAAAAGGCTTTGTAATAAAGCTTGGTGAATTCAACTGAAATTCCATAACATTTAATTCGAGTAGGAAACCCGGGATTTCATAGTATTGAAATATTTTTAAATTACATTATTAGACCTTTTTTAAATACAAATCTCGTAACTTCTAAGTATTTTTTTACCCAATTGTGTGCGAAATAAAATTGCAAATATCTCGGTTCTATCGGGCGAAGATTTAACCATATGGCAGCGAATCGAGAAATTGATTGGTCTGGAAGTAGCATGTTCCTGACGTCAGATGACGTCACCAATGCTCCAATGTTATGTGCTTCAGAATTGGCAGTAATTAAGGTCAAAATCACACAAATGCATATTTCATTTAAAATGTTTAAGAAAATAGCGTAACCGTTGTTAAAGGGATCTAATGAACGCGGGATTACACCACGTGGAGTGTGGGCTGTGTGAGTCACATGGTGACAAGTGACCGCGTGGCTCCTTCGGGCGTCAGTCTGGCCGGGTTCTCTGAGCAGTACGCACCGCACTTTGGCTGCTTGAGATTACAAAGCTTGATTTCTAGTCATTCAGGTGAGTTTATTCGAACGTTGGTGTACTTAAGTATTATGGTTTGCTGTTAAGTGGTCTTCGTGTAGTTACTAAAGATTTATGAAATTGTTATAGAAGTTTCGTGTTGCGAGCCGTCCGTGCAGCTGTTTGCTGGTAACATGGTCTTTTGTTCGCTTCTTAAAGGTTTTTGTTTCTACAAGTCCTTTACAAAGTCAGCCAGTTTAATATATAATGGTGTACTGTACTCATTTAAGTCTTGGTATGAAAATTTCCTCAATACTTGCTCGCAAAAACTCGTTAAACAAGCATGATAACTTGCCGGCTGGGGTGACGGTGGGTGGTAAGGGAGGGGGGGGGGTTAAGGTGGAGAAAAGTTGCCATAGGTGATGTACGACAAATTGCAAGGTTTTCTGGTACTTGTCTAAAGCCCACATAAAAGTTTGTAAAACTTTTATGAATAGAAAAGTTGTTTATTTTTTTGTTCGCTCAAATTACGAAGTGACGCCGCCACGCCCGGGAAGCGTGGCTGGCTGTGGCTGGCTGGTTGGCTTGCTGGCTGGGAGTGCCGGCTGCGAAGCCAACATAACACCATATGGAACCATGTTTTCTTACTTAGTATTAGTTTCCTGCTGTATTTTTTCAGCTTTTTCCTCCTAAATTAGCTGTTTTAGAACAAGTCGCATTATGGCAACTTGGGACTTGAACATAATGCATTTTAAGTTTAGTTCTTAGCATTTAGATTTATATCTTGAAGTAAATACTGCCACTCTTGTTGAAGGATTATTTCTGAAGTAGCACTTTAAATTTGCAGTTGTAAATGTAACACCAAAGAAATTAATGTCATTCTTAACTCTCCAGATCAACAAGCTTCCGGTCTAACTCGTAACCATGGGCAAGGAGAAGATCCATATTTCCATCGTGGTGGTGGGCCACGTAGACTCTGGCAAGTCCACCACTACTGGTCATCTCATCTACAAATGCGGTGGTATCGACAAGCGAACCATCGAGAAGTTCGAGAAGGAGTCCTCTGAGATGGGCAAGGGCTCCTTCAAGTACGCCTGGGTGCTGGACAAGCTGAAGGCTGAGCGTGAGCGCGGTATCACCATCGATATCGCCCTGTGGAAGTTCGAGACCAACAGGTTCTACGTGACCATCATCGATGCCCCCGGCCATCGTGATTTCATCAAGAACATGATCACCGGAACATCCCAGGCTGACTGCGCTGTGCTGATCGTTGCTGCCGGTACTGGCGAGTTCGAAGCTGGTATCTCTAAGAACGGTCAGACCCGTGAGCACGTGTTGCTGTGCTTCACCCTGGGTGTGAAGCAGCTGATCGTGGCCGTCAACAAGATGGACAGCACCGAGCCCAAGTACTCAGAGGAGCGCTTCAAGGAAATCCACAAGGAAGTGAGCGCCTACGTGAAGAAGGTCGGCTACAACCCAAATGTGGTCCCCATCATCCCCATCTCCGGCTTCAACGGCGACAACATGCTTGAGAAATCCGAAAACATGGGCTGGTGGAAGAAGCAGAAGATCCAGCGCAAGAGCGACAGCTATGAATTCGAGACCCTGTTCGATGCCCTGGACAACATCGAGCCCCCCACCAGACCCCTGGACAAGGCCCTCCGTCTTCCCCTTCAGGTAAGCATCCTCAGATTGCTCATATGTTAATTGCAGTACTTAATGAAAATATTGACCATGTGTAAAACAATTATCACTTCATGGTTGTTAGATGTAGTTTAATGGGTGTGATTGAATGAGTGGCTGTAGAATTTTAAATGAACGAATTTGTTATTAATATGGTTTCTCTCCTCCCACAGGACGTGTACAAGATTGGAGGTATTGGAACAGTGCCCGTGGGCCGTGTGGAGACTGGTATCCTGAAGCCAGGTATGGTTGTCAACTTTGCCCCCACTGGCCCCACCACTGAGGTAAAGTCTGTGGAGATGCACCACGAAGCTCTTACCGAGGCTGTCCCTGGTGACAACGTTGGCTTCAACGTGAAGAACGTGTCCGTGAAGGATCTGAAGCGTGGCTTCGTCGCTTCCGACTCGAAGAACGACCCAGCCAAGGAAGCTGCTGACTTCACCGCCCAGGTGATCGTCCTCAACCACCCTGGCCAGATCCAGGCTGGCTACTCACCTGTGCTTGATTGCCACACTGCTCACATCGCCTGCAAGTTCGCTGAACTGCTGACCAAGATCGACAGGCGTACCGGTAAGGAGCTGGAAGCCGGACCCAAGCACGTGAAGTCTGGTGACTCCTGCATCGTAAAGATGGTTCCCAGCAAGCCCATGTGTGTGGAGACCTTCCAACAGTATGCTCCCCTTGGACGTTTTGCTGTGCGTGACATGAAGCAGACGGTAGCTGTGGGTGTGATCAAGGAGGTCAACAAGAAGGATCAATCTGGCAAGACTACAAAGGCTGCAGAAAAGGCCCTCAAGAAGAAGTAACCCACATCTTAAAGGCATAGAGATTTACTGTGTTATCTAGTCTTTAAGATGAATAATTTTTTTTATAAAATAAACCTAAGGATAGAATGGATTTATTTGTGACCCAACTAATATTCGTTATGAAAATCATAAGTAAAGGACAAAGCAGTATGAAATCTTGCTTTGCAGCATGTTTTTTTTTGGTTACTTGCTTTAAATGTGGGAATGCCATAAGTTTATATTTATTATACTGGATACATGATGCCCTGACATTAGGTTATCTAAATATGCCCTTGCTTTTTATTCTTGATGCAGTGTTCTGCAGTACAAGTTTCATTTAACTTTTTTTTCTTTATTGCATTCAAGTCTTCAGTTTTGAAAGGTATATATCACCCTTTGCAGTTTTCAAATGCTTGTATTCCTGCATCTATATGCTCCTGCATTTTCATATTCAGACTATGCAGTGGCAATTGAATTCTTCATTAAGTTCTTTGTGCAAAATTTCTGAACAAGGTTCTATCATTTAATGTCAATATCAAGGCTTTGAATATGACAATGTGACCTAATTGTGAAACTTATAAAAAATAAAGACCTGGAAGCATCACTTGATCAAGTATCTGATGGTAAACTACAGCTACATCTGATTTTACTTTAACCCACAAGTTATTACCACTTAAAATAAAACTTGATATTTGGTATTTTTCTACAGGGAGGAAAAAATAAATAAAATGCATTTATTCTGATCATAATTTATTACTAAAGACCTAACAGGTGTATCAATTACTACTATCCATAGTAGTCATTGTGGTGGTGTTCATATTGGACATGCTTGTGGCAGCATCAACAAGAGCAGTATGGATGTCCTTTGCATATACAACTTGATTTCGGACAGTTGAGAGATAATGGGCATATTTCTGAACATCCACTGGAGGTGTTGATATTGGACTTGGTGTGTATTTCTGGGAAGCGGCACCCTGGAGCTGGCAATCAATGGCAGTTTGCTGTGGGGGAGAAATAAGATTCAAAATGGAGAAAAGCGAGAGTGCACCAATACACTAATATGATTGATCTATAAAATTTTTGGCTGTGCCAATATTTAAGGTCATTAGTGGTATATTCAAAATGGTGATACTGTGAAGCTTTACGAAGTGCTAATATCAAAGAACATCCCCTTAACTCATGTTAGTTACAAATTGAACAGTACTAGAGGGGAGAAGGGGAGCTGCTGGGGCACAGCATAGGGGGGGGGGGAGTAAATTACATATGTAACACCAGCCATCCTGCCTGTTGACACCGCTCTGACCAGAATGTGCCTCTGTAGCAACATACCAAATAGAAAACATTACTTGCTGTCCAAATTCAATGCAATCAGGTTTTGGCAATACTTCACATTACAAACCATCTGATCCCCATGCAATATCTGCTAAAATTTAACCCCCCCCCCCCCCAAATATGCACACCTAATATATTGTAAACTTCTCATTAAAAGCCTTAAGGGTAAGTGCATCTAAAATATTCATACCTATTCCCATAGAAAGAGTTAGTACATGTGAGTGGGGGGGGGGGGGGGGGTTACTGACTATTTATTTATTTTTTGACATATAGATGATATTGCATAATGCCATACTCTGTATAATCAGCTCCTCATCTTTCTCCAATAGCAGTAGCATCATTTGTTTGGTGTCACTTTTACATAAAAGCACTTATAGTGAAGGGAAACCTTTAACTAAACATTTGTTTATAATATACAGCTACAAACTATTAGGTCCCTAATATTGTGCTTAAAGTTAAAGTTAAAGTTAAAGTTAAAGTAAAAAAAAAAAAAAAAAAAAAAAAAAAAAAAAAAAAAAAAAAAAAAAACTGAGATATTAGACAACACATTGAGGTATAGTTTTTCCTTTTTTTCTATAATTTGATGAAGCATGAAGTTTCCTATACAAAAATGGGGACCATTCAACTTTCACCAAAAGGGTATTAATTTTGCATGTTCGTATTTTCCTAAAATGGGGGAATGAATGAGAAAATGGTAAATTAATAGATATCAAATAATAAACATACAAAGTACCCAGAAGAGGCCATACTCTGAAACAATGCCTAAGAGAAATCCTTACTAATATTATCATACAACCACGCACAGATATCTTAAGCAAATCTGTATTTCAAATATCTTTATCCTTGTATTTTTGTATGACCCCTAAAAAAGAGGAAAACTTACTCAAAAGAACCGTAGTGAGTAAAAGAACTACCCATTTATTTCACAGTGATACTTCAACACGAGACTGTAACAGGCTCCTCTATTTGTTATTATGCTTTTATAAAAAAAAAAAAGTGAGCTAGTAAGCAAACAAGATATTTCTCAGCTATGGCAAGAGACTATAAACATTAAGAAAACGTATATAAATATATATAAAAATATATCTAAGCAGAATCTGTCAAAATCAATTTTCCTACGAGAACATGCAGTAATGAATGTACTACTGAACATTTTGTGATTTTCATGTATATTACTTGCAATAATTACTTACCAAATTTATCTCTATCTGGTCGCATAGCGTATAGAACTTCTCAATGCTCTCTTCAAACTTGGTGTGCGGGACTTCTCCAGCATTTCTGTAAAAATAAAATGAGTAAGGAATTAATTTGAAAATATATGGTATTCCTCTCTAATTATGAATGTGATTCTTTTTCCAAAATGTAAATGTTAATGCAAATGTGCATATACAAACATAACACCATGTGCAGAGGTATGGAGAAAATAACTATAGTTAGGTATGGAGAACATAACAAGTCTGTTCTTGCACTGTAAATATTGGAAATGAATGGCTGAATATGTTCTCAAATAAGCTTTATTTATTTTATGGTTAATGGTTAAATTGGCTAGACATCAAAGGTCATATAGCACTATGGTAGAGCACTGTAGGATAGAATGGTAGGGAAAAGGATATATAGGGGTGGGGGAATTGTAAAAGGGGAAGGGGTTAAGGGTATAGGGCAATTAGATCAAAACGAGAGTTTGTCTGAGGAAGGGAGAGTAACACTGTATGAGGAAAATTACAAAAGAGCCATTATCAAACAATCAATGGGTAATATAGGTAGAAATGGTTGTTGGTAGTTGGAGAAGTAGAGGAATCCAGAGAATGAGATAAGGGTACAGGGGATGGTTGTGAAATATCAGAGAGAATATCAAGAGGGAGAGAGGGAGTAGAGATTGGATGGTTCAGGGTAGAGGGAAGAGATACAGAGGGAGATGCTGAGACATCTTTGGAAGATGGGAGAGGAGTGGAGGAAGTATAGTTTTGGAATAGATAGAAAGAGAAAAAACTTTGTCAGCATGCTTCTTGTCTGGCTTCATGTAAAGTGAGGCCTAGTTTTAATCTGTGACCTCAGATTTGAGCTTGTAGGCAGGGCATGTCCTCTAAAATAGTATTATAGGAGCCACCACAATTGGCACAAATGCATGACTGAGCAAAGCAATTTGAACAGCCATGATCAGGCTGGGCACATGGAGGGCAGCAGGCTGTGGATTGATAACATTTGACTGGCTGGCCAAAATGCTGATACTGATGGGGAAGGGGTCAATATGGTCAGACAGGGCAGGACGCTTCACCAATATAAACTTCATGGGGAAGGTCATGTCTATGGAACCTAATCTTGGTAAAAGCTAATCTTACACTGGCCTCTGGGAGGAATAGTGTAGCACTGGACTACCACTGCATCATAGTCAATGAGGGATGTGAGCAGGTCTTTTCACAATTTGACCAGTCCTTGTTGTCCAAAGGACAATCAGTTGGGGAGACAGAAACAGTTTCAGTACAAGTATTAAGGGAGGAGTAAGGTTGGGCAGGAACAGGTTTGCCAGTAAGGTCAGTCAGGTTAGATAGTATACAAGATTCATACTTAGATGTAACTGTGACAAGGCGTGAACAATTGGAATGATTGCGAAAGGAAACTTTGCCTACTTGTTTTTGGAGACATTGTTGAAAGAGAAAGGTACTGTCAGAGTAAGGGGCTGTAGGGGGAATCACAAAGAATTTGGTCGGACCAAAAAAGGGTACTCAAAAGGTTTGCAGAGGTGAAAGCAGTAGAAGGATGAGGGTGGGAGGAAGATGGGGTAGTATGGAGAGAGGTAGTACTGTGGGGAAGAGGACAATAAGGATGAAGAGTAGTAAGAAGGGGAGAGGAGGGTAGATAATGATGAAGACTGCAGTAGGAGATGGAGTGCAGAATGTTGGAAGAGAGAAAGGGATGTATTCTGAAGGTTAAGTAATGACCTGGGTGGGTGATTCCTTGAAGAGAGGGTATTAGTATCAGTGGTTGGAGGCGTGGTCAAAGGAGAGGTAGGACTTGGGAAACAAGAGAAATCAAATTTAGATAGGCTAGTTGATGAAGGGGTAAGCCTTAATGCCCCTAATAAAGATAAAAAATCTTCATTACTGGCCATGATGAGTCTGAAATAAGTGGGGAAAAGAAATGGGCTGAGGGCCAAGGTAGGGCTGATCCCCTACATTGGGCCTCAGTCTCTGTCTCCTAAGCCCACCCACAACAGTGAGCAAGGGGTTAGGGGGGTTTATTCATTTAAATAATCATAAATAACTTGTCAATTACCAGATTTTTATCATCTCTAAACTTTCCGTCTGTAAAAAATTATTGTCAACCTGTCAAGTGGATCTTTGCCTCAATACACAGACACACACACACACACACACACACACACACACACACACACACACACACACACACACACACACAAAAAAAAAAAAAAAAAAAAAAAAGAAAAAAAAAAACTTTTCTCATTGTAAAAACAACTAAGTAATAAATGCAGAAGACAAAATATATCAGTTTCACACACACACACACACACACACACAAACACACACACACACACACACACACACACAAAAAAAAAACAATCATCAGTAATTTCTATCAAGTCTCAGATTGAGAGGTGTGTTACATTTTATGAAATATCAGATGTTTACTGTAAACATCAAAACTGTATATATAACGTACATGTTAGACACAATATCACTGGGTTAGCAGTATCTAATCTGTCTATACAGCTAGAAGCAAAAATAAGAGTTAAAAGTTAGCAACAACTCAACCTTATATATATGTGTGTATATACATATGTATATGTATATATATATATATATATATGGTGTGTGTGTGTGTGTGTGTGTGTGTGTGTGTGTGTGTGTGTGTGTGTGTGTGTGTGTGTGTGTGTGTGTGTGTGTGTGTGGGCGCACGCGTGTGCACTTCTTGATAACACACCTGCACATGAAAACACACATGAAAACACACACACACACACACACACACACACACACACACACACACACACACACACACACACACACACACTGTAAGCGTAAGTGACCACGCAAGCCACTAGATGTAAGCGTAAAGATGTAAGCGTAAGTGACCACCGCTGCCACCAGATGTAAGCGTAAGTGACCACGCAAGCCACTAGATGTAAGCGTAACAGAGATGGTCTTGGGGCGGTCAATCAAGGGGTCTTAACTTGCTGGTTTATTTCTGAAGATAGATATGAGACCCCAAGAGACCCCCGTGTCCCCGGGTGGAGGACGAGGTAGTGGAGCTGGACCCTGTGTCGCTTGGCCTGTCTGCCGTGTCTCTCTCTGTCCCCCTGTGTCTTAGGCACGTGCCCTTTTATGCGGCGGTTTCCTTGGAGGGCGGATGTTAATTCATGTGTGAAAAGAGAAAGGAGGGCAGCACCTGCATCCTGCGCAAGGAGAAAGGCATTTGCTTGGACCGAGGTGTGAATCTGCCATCCGGTCTTGCTACGTATTGTTCACACACACACACACACAAATATGAACTCTCATTCACTCACTCACACACACACACACACACACACACACACACACACACACACACACACACACACACACACACACACACACACAAAAAAAAAAAAAAAAAAAAAAAAAAAAAAATTAAAAAAAATGCAGGTAGGTATGCAAGCAGATATGCACACAGTTTTCAGCCATATTTATGTGTTTGATATATGCAAATTTTCCAATAGGAGATTGTGTATTTTATACATTTTGCATCCTTCTTTACATTAAAATGTTAAATGCAACAGAACCTTAGAGAAATTCCTTCATGTTGCCATTACTTTTCCCATGTGTTTATATTCAGTGCAAGGAAAGCAGCAGATCAAGCAGTTGGGTATTTCTGGGTTCTCTTTTATAAATCTCAAATGGCAATGCTCCAGTCTAAGCAGTCAAGCAGTGCTACAGTAGCCACCTATGATCATAAAAACCTATGGCTCATTTGGAAATTGAAGTAAGGCTAGAAATAAATTAATAATTTAGCCCAATGTCATCCTTCTATTCTCTCCTTCATAAAGTTCTGATGTGATATGAAATCTAGCTTTTCAGATTTCTTATGAAGAGCTTTGGAATATTTTACATACTTTTCAATGAGTGTCATGCAATATGAGCAGTGTCAGGGAAGGAATTTTCTGAATCTTTGTTTTTTTCCCTTCCAATGGGATCTCTAACAGGAAAATAAAAAGTGGTGAAGAACTGCTCTTTCAGGGTGGTAAAGATCCTCTCATTTCCTTTTTTAATTACAAGGTAAATGCACAGCAGAAAAAAATGCTGAGGGTACTATCAGCTACTCAAGTGCAATTGCACCTTCAAACTCTAGGAAAGTGAAGACTATGCATCTTTTACAGAAAATGCACTCATACTAGTAATTATGTATTATCCTTTTCATTCATTTTGTCATGATTTTCAATAATAATGCTCTTATATTTCTAGCTATTGATAGGATACTTTCTTTCTCCATTTCTTGTTAGAGTGAAAAGTTCCTTTTTGTATTCTGATTAGTGGCAATGCTACTGCTAAAATGACCATTGTACTATTTAACCCTTTCAGTGATACAGACATCATTTGAAAACTGCAACATATTAGACCCCCAGTATAGATGCCATTCAGTATCCAAGTGTAATTCCTTTATAAAACCTAGAATGTTCATTGAACTGAGGGATAGCTGTGCATGCTATCCTTGTTGTAAGGGATAACACCATTATGTTCTTGAAATTATTTCATCAATATATTTGAAAACATAATAGAAAAAATGTAAAGAAAAAGCATTTTGATGTCTATTTATTTCTAATGATTTGGCAACTCTGAATGGACAATCTCAGTGTCCTCAACACAACTTAGCCTTAGCCTTATTGATTCAGGTCTACAGTTTTCATTTATTGCTTCCCAAAGTTGATTTTTTGTGTAGAATGTATTTCCACATTAAACTATTTCTTTATCCATATGCAATACAAAAAAATCCATACTTCCCATGCTTTCAAATAACACAAATTTTAAAAGTATTTATAAAAAACTGTGGTAGTACTTTCAATTTCAGGATGAAAAAGTATGAAATTGAGATATGGGTTGTTAAAGATTTTTTAATGCTTTTAATAAGAAATTCCTGTTCCAAACTATTTGCGCGCACATTAGGCATCCCAGTAACCCCCTACAAAGATATTATGATTGCCAAGACCATTCCTTGCCATATACTCTGGAATTGTGTGGGTAGGACTATCAGCTCCTTCAAGACCTGAGGTGCTAGTTAGTATTTATTAGTTTCATTATCATCGTTAATGACTTAAACAGAAGAAAAGCTTTAATTGCTACATAACTCTACAAAAAATGCAGTGGCCCCTCCCCTTAATGTATCAGCTCCTTCAAGACCTGAGGTGCTAGTTAGTATTTATTAGTTTCATTATCATCGTTAATGACTTAAACAGAAGAAAAGCTTTAATTGCTACATAACTCTACAAAAAATGCAGTGGCCCCTCCCCTTAATGTATTTATTTCATAGGAAATATTGTAAGATATTTCTTATTGTCTTATTGACACATAATTGTAAGCACATGTATTATAAATGGGAATATTAAAAACCACTGAAAATATTACTTCAAAAATATAGAAACTGCCTACCACACAGAGAATGCATATGATTTCAGTGTTTCAGAAAAAATAAATAAATAAATAAATACATAAATACTACTACTACTTACAGGCCCTCAAACAAGACACAGTGGGATACTCTCAAGGAAAAGCTCTTACACTAGTGAAAGAAAAGTTTCCTGGCATTACAAAACCCTTCCATTTACAGCCAAAAGATGGAAGGTAAGGAAGGCAGCCAGGGAGGGGGGAAATAGGGATAGGGGGCAGAGAGTATGTTCTAAAAAAAAATTGTGTCAATAAAAATTTTAGGCGAGTTGGAGAAGTAGTAGAGAGAAATAAAGGGGATGGAGTTGAAAAAGATAAAAAGAAGGAAGAGGAGGGAATAAAAGGGTAGGAAGGAGGGAGTAAGAGGGAAGATAAGGTAAAGACAGGGTCAAAACAGCCTCTAAAAACATGACAATAAAAGAAATAAATCTAAAGTCCTGGTCTTTAATAGGTATTTCCCATTCTTAAGAAACCATTGGATCCACATGCTTCACCCCCATCACATGGCCCAAAATATGGCATGTTCCTGTCATCTGCCCCTTCAGCTAAATTTTTTCATTAGGTGATGGTCATGTCATATGGATCATGTTCATGAATAACTTTCTTAATTCAAATTATTTTTCAAGTAAAGCAAGAATGTGTAAGTTCCATGTTAATATTGTGATCTGTGTGTATATTTATGAAAGATTTATCTCCAAAGAAATGAAAAGTCAATAATTCTACACAAAAAATGGTAGCTAAAACCTTAAAACCCCTGTAACACACACTAAATACACACACATGTAGACCTAAGCATGTATGTACTGTGTGTGTATAATGAAGAGTATTTTTGACACATAAGACTCTAAATACCATTTTTTTCTTAAACATACCTTAATCCCTGATCAACTTGGGTGTTGTTTGCAATATTTGTTGAAGCACAGCCAAGGGTTTCCTAGAAGAGAAAAGGAAAGCATAAAATACATAACATGGAAAAGTCTCACAAAACTTAGATGTTAAACATCAATAATATTCATTATTCTTCACAAGAGAATCACTATGGCAAAACTACTCCCACTGTGCGAATGCCCCCTTGTGCAAAATGTAGTAGCAACCAATGTTTACTTGAATGCCACTAGTAACTGAGGCTTTGAATACTGTCAATTTTCAATTTGTGCACTTTCAATGTGAGAAATTCCTTTAACCCATTCGCCACGGATTTATGTTCTGTCCCCTGTAATTTTTTGTGAATTTTGTTACCTACAGATGGCTCCACATGTGCTCAGCCGGCAAGGAGTCTATCAGTAGGCCCTAGTTACCGACCCTGATTTTCCCATTCATTGAACTGGTGGGAAAACTAATACCATTGCTTTCGATACTGTTATTATTGTTATTGATGTTATGCTTATTGAATTGTCATTAGAATATTTTTGACAATGAAATGATACAAAAAAAAATTTCCTAAAGTGAAGGAAAAGGGTAAACAGGTGAAATAGGTAGTTCTTGATAACTGGCTATCTGGTGATTAAAAACTTGTGGAGCCATCTATGTGTAAATACAATAAATAAACGTATATCAAAGTGGGTATGGCATCTATTCTTGCCATATGTGGCGAATGGGTTAAAACACATCTCTTTTAAAACTTGAACTGAGTTTCTAACATAGAAAACATCATTAGCTACTATAAGCTACCATCTACTGAAGGCTATATGATATCAATATATACATATTCTATCACACAGAGGCACATCACCAGGATTTAAAAATTCACAGCAACTAAGCTTTGCTTACATTTGTTGGCTGATAATTAGCACTTTAATTTTTCCTTTCCCTAGAGTGAAGCTTATTTACAACAGGCTTTAGTTTTTCTAGATTAGATGACAATGTTGAGGATCCTATTAGTGTAGCAATGGATGATGATGATGATGATTATTTTGGTAATAAAACATTCATAAAATATTTCCTGAGCAGTGAGCTGCTGGTATGGCTTTGGCTATCATGACTTATTCTAGGCTTCATGCCAATGATAGCTATGCCCGTTATGATGGACTACCTTCATGAAGGACTGTTTTCAGAGTCTTTTCCAGATTCTTATATTTTCTGTGCCTTACAGTGTCATCACATGGTGTAACATCCTCATGGAATAGTTGGACAGTTGACAGTTTTCAGTTCTTTGGTAATTTTTTTTTTTTTTTTTTTACCTTTTAAGTCATGTCACATGATATGACATCACCAGAAACTAGCCAAGGGCATTACCTGACTGTCTACAGAAATATAAAAAATGGCAAGCACAGGTCAAGGTAGTTATTAGACAGCCTGTTCTTTGCCATAGCATGTCTCGTTGGCTGTTTACCTTCTCCCATTGAAGGTCTCAGTCTTCTCTTACTGTCCACTTTCATCAGTTTTGAGGATGGGATGGTGAATGACCTCCAGCCACTGAGTTAAGGAATCCTCCTGATCCTCTATTGTATCTGTTTCTGAATTCCCCTGATGAGGAAAGTTTGGTAATGATACAGATAAGGAGTACATGTCTTCTTTGAAACTTCCCAGGCTTGAGGATCTTTCATACATTTCTCTCTATTCTTTGATTTGTAAAAAGCACCAACTGGCTCCTTTTGCATAATAACTTGTGTTTCTGCATAGTTTTACCAGTTTTTACAGATGTATTATGTTTTTCTTTTGCATTCTTTTACAGACCCTTAAACTCCTGACATAAAGGATGAATTCAACTGGGAGAACAGCAACTCTGATGAAAGTTTCCTGTCTGACTCTAAGTCAGATATCAACTTGGTGTCTCTGCATGACACCTTGGTAGATGATAAATCCCTTGTCTCCTACACCAGACACCCAGGGGATTGTAATGCCCCCAGTACCACTATCTTTGTCTAAAGGAAGAGGGAGAACGTCCCATGGCACTTCGGCTTCTCTGCCTCTCCAAGGGTCAAGACTGACCATCTGTCCTGACTTACCCTGACAAGTTTTTTAGCATTTTCTTGACAAAGAAATTGTTGCAAAGGATTGTTGATGAGACAAACAGGTAAACATCCCATCTGTTTGTTGGGATGAAAATGTTTAATTACAAAATCTCATCTTCATCTTCTTTTGAACACATTTCTTACAATGTTCATTCTCTTTCATTTGTAGGTATGCTTCCCAGCACCCTTAAACAGTCTGCCTACATGAAGAGGTGAGGGAACACCTAGATGAAGGAGCTCCAGTACTACCTTGGGCTGCCATTCTTGATGAGTTTGTAGCCCAAACTTCACACACACCAATACTGGTCTTGCAACCCTTTGATGGCAATGTCTGATATCACGGGATTGTTTTGATGTCATCTCAACAGCACTCCACTTTAGCAATAACCCTCCAAGTGACTGGATTTGGAGGTTGTGACCAGTCCTTGATATTCTGGATGAATAGTTTCTGTCTATCTTCAACCCCAACAAGACCATTATTGTAGACAAAATCCAGTAGGCCTTCTGGGGGCATTATGTCCCCAGTAAACAAGCAAGGCATGGCTTGAAGGTGTACAAGCTGTGATCCAGAGATGAATCAGTGGCTGGGTATAATGATGCCTTCAAGATATTTCCTGCCAACATGAAGGTAGCAGTCAACCTCATGATAAGGGATATGGGCTTCAGTGTTGTTGGCACAGAGCAGTGTAACCAAGAGTTCATGTCAAGAGACTTGCAGGTGAAGGGCAGAAGCAATCTAGGTCATTGCAGCATCCTGGCAGGCACAATGGCATTGCAATGGATGGACAAGTGGCCAGCAACAACAATGTTAACAGTACACAAGAGCTATATGGCCAACCTGCAACCTAACGGCTAAGAGATTAAGAGGACAAAACCAGAGGGTGTAGTTGACTACAATGTTTGAATGAAGGGTGGACATGCCCTAATGCAATGAAACTTTTCATGGCAAAAGGGCTAGTCTGGTCACACACCAAACATCCTGGTGGGAAATGATGACCACTCTTAGTGTTCCCTGGAATAAATTCTTACCCCAGTACCATTGGGTAAATTGTTTACATGCAGAAGGTTCCATAAGTACTGTAAATATTGAACAGGAAGTCAATGACTTTTCCTATTTTATTTCACCTGTTTACCTTTTTCTTGATTTTTTGAAGGGTTAAAAACACAAATACACTGCTACTTGTATTTTAACAAAATTATAAGCATAATGCCAACAACAATAAAATCAATATCAATATAAATATCATTAGAAAAACATATTTCCAGAAAATTCAAGGAACAGCATTTGTGGAGCCATATGTGTGTAACAAAATTCACACAAAAAAGGATAGCAAATGTACCAACAGCCAATACTTAAAGGAAATGTTGATATGGAAAACGACTAGGAAATAGTGTTCCTTATGGAGGGCACTTCTCTGACTTACATAAAACACTGTCATAACAATAACACTCATATCTATAAAGCTGGCAGACTTGGCTCAATACAAAGTAAACTAGAATTTGCAGGGTACCATTTGGATGACTGAAAATAAATGAATGGAATAGGACAAAGGAGACAAAAATCAGTCTCTCTATTAAACAACTCTAGCAGTCTATTTTAAAAGGCCAAAAGCACTTGACAAACGAACCATTAGCGCATCCTTCATCTGCCAGTAGTGATGCTTGATGCGACTTATGCTGTCCTTCTGCTCCTGTTGCTGATTCGCCTGTTGTTGTTGCTGCTGCTGTTGTTGCTGTTGTGTCTGTTGCTGCTGCTGATGCTGTTCTTGAGCTTGTTGGCTTTGCTGCATGCCCTGCTGTGGACCTGTTGTGACATCAAAACACATCAGTACCTAAATAACTTTGTGCAATATTTACAAAAGACAAATGATTCTTGTAAAGAGTTATACCATGCTAAGACTAGTGATTACCACTAATGAAAGGAAGTCAACACAAGTGGACATTTGGTAATTTTGAGAAAAGTGTAAAAATTACCAGTTAAGGGTAATATCTTCAATTTTAATCACAGAGGATAATAATTCCATGTAAATAACCTTAAAAAACACCAATGAGACTTTTACAAAAATGTGATTGCTAAATTCTATGCAAGATAATCAATGTACACTTGTCTCCTTGATCTATAGACTACTACAGTGGAAGGGAACAGTTGAATTTTCAGCAACATAGCTACACCTCCTGTAACAGTAATCACTCCAGGGTTTATAACTGTGACAGTATCAAATGGAATGTTTTTTGAACAGAACTCTCCTTCTGTTGAAGATCAAAATTTAAGATCAAATAAAGGTTGTACTAAAATGAAATTGAAGACTGGAAAAAAATATATAAATGTATAAATAAATGTATGTATAAAGAGGAGATAAAAATTGCAAAAATATATATAGTACTCTCATTAGATAACTGAAGAAGAAAATCCTGTTTTTTGCTATTCAATTCAAGAAAAAATTCAGTTACTGCAAGATCTTCATGGCAATTCCTAGAAAACTCAAATTTGATCCTCTTTGACAACCTTCTGAGATGTACATGGCAATGTGTGCAAAAGACCTCAAGAGTCATTAACTTTAACCCTTTACTGCCAGGAACATGTAATGTCCATTGTAGTTTTGTCTTGAGAAATGTGTTTACACCGGTGGCTCCACAAGTGCTCACCTGCCAAGGAGTCAATTAGCAGGCCTACATGACTTCATCTGATCACAAAATTTATTAAAAAATCTAAGTTGCCATGGCAGGGCACTGCCCAAGGGAGGGTTGATGGGAGCTCCATCCCCCAACATCCCTCCAGCACCTCTGTATGCAGAGCAAGATAGAGCTGAAAGTTGGGAGCATGGAGTGGAGTTAAGCAATGAGTGGCACTCTCCATTTTTTCCCTTCATTTGTGGCACTACCATTCCTGTCTGCAGATTATTTATTATACTATACCATTAAGATTAACCAAAATAGTAATTGACTCTTTGGTGTCTAAGCACTTTTGGAGCCATCTATGCGTATACACAATAAAATAAACTGACAGTGTGGGTTAACCATCTGATATCATGTCATGTCAAGCTCTGTTCACTCTATTCAATCCTTACGTACTTGTGCACTCCCCCCCCCCCCCCACCTCTGCCTGTACAAGCTTCTCTATACAACCAGCTGTTTCAGAACTTCTCATAAATCACCACTTTTATTTTAGGATACCTTTAGTTCAACATGCATACAATGTACCAAATCATGTCTGTTGATCAAATATCCATAGACATGCCCTGACCACAAGGGAATAAGTTGCAGGAAGCTTTTAGCGAATAAAACACTGATCCTATAAAAAGCTTTTGCTGCACTATACTAATGAGTTAACTGATTTCAATTTATTTGATGGCTCTGCATGTGCTTAGCCACAAAGATGTCAGTTAATAGACCCTGTGATTTTTCCTGATTTCACCTTTCCTTGAATTCACAGGATTCTTTTTTTTAACTAATGCTATCAATATCAGTGGTATTATTTTTATTACAGACATTATAATTACTATAATGTTATTGACTTTGTACAAGTGGAACCATCTATGTGTAAAACACTGTCAACCTTGGGTTAATAATAGTAATAATTGCAATAATAATAACAATTATTATAATAATAATGACAATAAAAACAGGTACTCCAAAAATCAAGGTAAAAACTAAACAGGTGAGACCAGGTAGTTTTTAGTGACTCCTTGGCAAGTAAGCAGCTGTGGAGCCATGTATGAGTAAACAAAATGACTAAACAATAATCACAGTGGACGTGATATGTATATGTGATCAACAAAAGTAACAACCTTTACTCATCCTCTACCAGATGCAAGACAATGACACATATGTAAATTGCCATTTCTTTACCTATATGTTAATGGAAATAAATAAACAATAAATAAGGTGGTCCCCCGTTGAACAACCTACAGATTCTATAAGTTGTTGGCCACCTCTTCCTGCATGCTAAGATAGCTGGAATTCTAATTACTCGCAGCACCAGAGTGGCTTGAACTCCTGAGCACTACATTATCACACAGGCACCTTAGCCCACTGAGTCACTGAGTACACAAAGTGTGGATTCATGGAAATCCTTTGAAATTTAGAAAAGGTGACTAGAAGAAACTGTAGTCATCAAATAATAAACATTTGTTTAGATAAATTTGGACAAACATTTTGTAAACCTATTTTGTATGTTCTAGCAGGGACATACTGATTCTTTATTTAATGTTAAACAATGAAGATGCATTATCCAAAAAGCCTGTAACACAGCTAATACATTTCTAACATGCTCATATAAGCACTGTTGCAATGATTCTATTTAC